ATACCGATCCCTATACCGATCCCTGTCTCAGGCTTTGAGCCTGCGGGTCGCTGTCGATCCCAGGGCCGCAAACGAGATCAAATGCGATAGCGCCACAAAAACGAGCCACCAGCAACAGCAGCAGCAACAACAGCAACAGCAGCAACAACAGCAGCAGCAACAACAGCAGCAGCAACAACAGCAGCAGCAGCAACGTGTTGCTCATTTAGCTGGCAGCCCAAACGCGGCCATAATTCAACGCTTTTGATAACTGCGTTAGGTTAGGCACCATCCTTAGCTCCTCGGCTCCTGAGCTCCTCGGCTCCTGAGCTCCGTTTCATTGCGGCCCAGGATCGGCGCGCGTCAGCACTTGGAGGGAGCCGGGACCCTAAGAGAGACGAGACCTTAGGCCCGACAACCAAGCACAGTGATGCGAAAGATATTTGTGGGGGATACTTAAGAGAAGTGGAAATTATATATATGAGCATTTAAGGATTGTAGAATAAGTGCCTTGGACTTTTGTTACTAATTTAAAATGAATTACATTATTTATATTAGATAATTTTTACCCTTTACCTTTTTATCACTTACTTACCAAGTACTATACTCTATTAATATAAAAAAATATATCCTATACTTCAGGTAATTGATAATTGAATCATAAAGTACAAGTACTACTTTTTTAAAGTACTTTCAACTCAGTAAGGATTTATATTTTCAAGAACAATCAGCTTGGCATCTTTTAGAACTGTTCTTGCTCTTCAAAATCAGTTGTTAAAATCTGGATAATTTGTTACTGGTCTCTAACATATAGCCAGAGATGTAGTGCCTTTCAAGTTTCTGAGTGTGACGATTTTAACCATAACTATAACCATATATATAAAAATTCAATATATATTCAACAGATTATACCTATGAAATTACCATAAACTACCAATGTAACTAGAGAGCTGAAGGACTTAGTAGATATAGCTCTTAAACATAAGTTAGCTCTTAGTTTATAACTATTTGTTAGCTTTAGATAAATAAATAAATAAATATATATCTATGAAGTCAATAAAGAGGTTTTCCTTTTAAAAACTGATTTTGAATGGGAATAACTTTACTTTAAGGTGACGTAACAATCGTTTTGTTAAAGTTGAGGTTACTGCAACTCAAATGATTAATAAAAATTATACTTTATATGGTTAAAATATCTTGAAAACCTTACGTATAGGAGATTTTCGAGTTCAGCGCCTTTAAAAACCTTAAATAAAATTATATACCCCTTGTTATTTCTATAAAGTTTTCGGCCTTTGTAATATAGATATTTAGTCCAGATTGAAGATAGACATTCTTACCTTACTGTCCCTAAGGAACGAAAGCTAAAATATAAAGGCTGGATTTACATATAGAATAAGAGATTTGTTTTTAAAATAAATAAACAAATTAAAAAAGCAATAGTCGAGATTTCTAGCAATGCTTAATGAGTGGGAGGAAGATAGATACAAGGCAGTGAATTTTTTGATTCATAGTTGAGGAGTTTTTATATGGTTTTCAAACAAAAAATTGAAGACAACTTTTGCAGAATATTTAAATATTCATTATTTTCTTAAAAAGAAAGTATAAAAACAGAAAATTTCCTTGATGCTGGCTCTTTCTTGGCTTAAAACCCTTGTTTTCCAGGCAATCTATAATGAAAATCCCATTTATTATCTAAGAACTCTCCTTTATATATCTTTAGATTCTTATACCATAAGATTTTCTTATGCAAATTTATAAAAACCTAATATTAACTTTAATTTCCTTTCAAATTTCAACCACTGTGACATGCTTCGACTGCCTTTTGTTGTACAATTTGATTTTGGTGTTTGCCTGGCGATTTGTTGTGTTTGATTTGCAGCTTCGCCGCCTTTGCTCCTCTGTATCCTGGTCCAGCTCCATCTCCATCTCCAGCTCCATCTCCATCTCCAGCTCCATCTCCGAGCTCGAGCTCAAGCTCCTCGTCTGTCACATTCCTGCGTTGCCGCAGCGCTTACATTGTTCGATTTTTTTGTTGTATTTTTAGTTTTCGGTTCATTCAAATCCTTTCGGTAAAATTCTTTTGTTTGGTGTCAAGTTTAACAAATATTTGCGGCCTCTTGTCTTGTTTGTCCCATGTTCCTCGCGTGTTGCTGCCCCCGCCCGTTTGTCCGTTGTCCGTTGTCCGCTGTCCGCTGTCCGTTGTCCGTCATTGTTCCCGCTCCTTGTGCCCCATCCCCCACACCCCACCCCTCTAAAAGTGGCCGCTGTGGCGGCATGGGGGCGTATGAGTAATCAGCGCCGCCCGCAATTAGTTGGCCTTAGACAAGCCGCAGCGTTGCAAGCGAGTGTGGGGCATGCAACAGCAGTGGTACTTGTCCCCGGTCTAGCCGAGAGCGATTTGCTTCCCATGATTGGCCAGAGTTATTGCGTCTGTGCCCCAGCCATTGTTGCAACTGGCAACTGGCAACTCTCTTATCAGAGGTCTCTTTCCGAGTCTTTTGTGCGAACATTTTTGACACCCCGCTGCGTGAGTCGCACAAAATGCCGCAAGAGTTGCTGCTGATGTTGCAGGAGCAGGAGTTGCAGGAGTAGGAGGAGGCTGCCCCCGGTGGGGCAGGGAGCTGGCACTGCTAGCCAAGATGGAGACCAGCGAGTGGAAGACTGGGGCCAAGTGCCACTGCAGCAACCGTAATTGTTTGTTTATTGTGGCTCTGAGGAGTTGCTGTTGCTATCGCAATGCTGCTGCTGCTGCTGCTGCTGCTGCTGCTGCTGTTGCATTGTTAAATGCTAAAGTGCTACACAATATTTATATTGGCATTGTCTGGCCGGGTTAGTCGGTATGCAACGAATATGCAATGCCCTACTGAAGGTATTACGAGGAAGAAAAGAACTTGCTAGGAGCTTACCTCATTGTAGACAACTGATGGACTCTACTGCCTCAGAGAGGGCATAGAACAGGATGAGATTAGCATCGGTTGCTGCACAGAGGGGAGCCGGCAATGTGTGGCACTGCTGACACTTCAATGGGCCTCGACTCTGCCTCATGCTGTGGCGCTATGCTGCGATTATGGCCACGGATTAACTTCCTCTTTTGGCCATCATCATCATTTGGGGCTCTTTCGGGTTGTGCCTCTGCCGATTGCCAACTGGCGAGTGGTTTACTTGCGCCTAATTATATCTAATTCGGGCTAACATTGCCGCCTCCTAGGCGCTGTGGGGACTTATCGCCTCCGATTACGTGGCTGTGATAAGTAGCCCCCCGGTGAAAATCAGCCCCGATAAGCCTAGAACTATGCAAAGCTCTCACATATTTCACCATGAAACCCCTGTCACTTGAACTTGGAAAGTCAAAGGGTCTTAGTCATATTCCATGGAAAAGCTCTGGGCAAAGTCAGCTTACTTGCTTTTACATTTATCGTAATTAATTTTTAGCTTTTTGATAATTCCAGTATTGCTTATAATTTATAGAAATTGCTCATACTTGTGGCACCCACTGTGCGTATCTTCCCCTGTCTTTGTGTACCTGGAGGCAGATCTAACACCTTATGACACCACATAAATCAAGTGCTTAACCGTTTTTTACGATCGCCGCATTTCGCAAAAAGGCCCCGAAACCTTTTGGCTAAGCTCCCCTTTGGCGGCTGAAGATGAAGCTGAAGCTGAAACTGAAACTGAAGCTAAGCCGGCGGCAAGGTCAGACAGAAGTCTATGCTCTTGTGCAACCCCTGACATTGAGAAATGGAGGAACCACCAAAGGCGACAAGGTGGAGGTGGAGGCGGAGGCGGAGGACAGGAAATGACGGCTCACTTGGCCGCCATTCAACTGCACATCCTTAGAGCCGAGCTCGGGGGACATATTTTCTTACCAAACGGCCTCGGCGTTGACAGTTTCAGTTTCAAGACTGAGGTTTTTCCCATCGCAGGAGGCGGCGGCGGCAAAGTAGAAACAATTTCCAACAATGCACCGGGGCCGTGTTAATAGAAATGTTTCGGGATTCGATAGAACAGAGGCGAGGTCCGAGGTCCAAGCGGAGCCAGCGACAATTTCTGGGAACTCCATAAAAATAGCTAAACGTGCAGGGGCCGCCCAGAACGGAGTTGCTCCTCGACTTGGCTTGGCCCCTACTGCTCATTTCATTTCAATTCAAACCGACTGCTGGCATTCTCTTTTTTCTCCTTTTTATTTTGTATTTTAGGGAAATTCACTTTCATCTTTTCAATAGGCTGCCGAAGGCAGCCAGGACAACGATCAGCTGTGGGTCCTTTAATGTCTAAATTCCCGAGGCTGATTCTTGATGTGTCATACCGCCCAAGTATTGACCTGCTGCTGTGATCTCTGATCCTTTTAGGGCTCTCATTGTCTGCCCGGCAGAGTCTCCTAACTGTTTCGGCTCGTCGTCCTTTTACCTTTCCCTTACCATCTCCCTCTCTTTTTGTGTGCCGTGTAAATATTTTCCCAGCATCCTGCAAACGTTTTGACAGTTTTTATTAGATCAAAAAACCGGCTACAAGTGGCGTGTGATAAATTGCGGCCAAAAAGGAGATGGGCCAGCCCAGATATAGACGCACACACACACACACATAGGGAAAGGAGAAACAGGGTCTAGGGTCCTAGGATCAAGTGTCGCTCACTTGGCTTCCCTTTTATTGTCTGATAAGTCCTGACTTTTACACACGCACACATACACCTGGTTTTGAGCAGCAATTAGGCAGTCCCAGGATCCTTGCATCCCTGCATTTCAGACACTCAAAACTCGAGACTCTCTACACAAATCCGCTTAGCCCACTAAGGTTACAATTTGAGTGTTTTAATTAGTGAAACAATAACTTGGATTGACTTGGGGACACCTTGAAGCCACTACCAAGTGGGTCTTAGTCTTACAACCCAAAGAGAGTGAGGGAACCATAACTTATCATCGTTCGATTCAAAGTGATTGATGAACTCCTGCACACTCACTGTTCAAATATGCAGGATACGCAGCAGGGATCGATTCCCGAATACAGCACACACAGCAGGCCAGATGGAAACGATCGGGGCGGCCTCAACTATTCCCAGCTCAGTTGAAAATTCTCAGTCAAAAGTCAACAACAGTCAAGAGTCAGTCAGTCATTCAGTCATTCAACAGATTGGCCCCAGGAAAGGATGCAAAATTCAAGAGTGATCCGCAGGGTGAACGCTGGCCTTAGCCGCTGTTTGAGCCACCATCGGCGACTGTGCCGCGAAATCGATGAGCTGGACCGACTGCTCTTTAACGACGAGTTCCTGCGAGATCCACGTACCCTATGGCTCCACCAGACCAGCAAAAAGGAGGCTCTGGACGTGGAACCCGCCTCGTCGGAGTCGGAGTTCAAAGGCAGCCAAACAGCGGGCATTAGGTTCCGTAGTCTCAATCAGGGCAACACGGGTAGGTTTTCCTCATATGCTAGGACATATAGAATATATATATATTTCTTCTATATAGGATCTTTGGTGGCCACAGAGGATTGCCATCAGGGAATCTCCACTCCGCAGCAGCAATCGCTGGTAAGACGTCCCCGTGTCAGGGTTGGCTTCGCCATGTCACGCCCTTTGAGGAAGATGATCTAGAGAAGTAGTTAATCCCATTGGGCTATCATTGAGAGGTCACAGAGCACACGTAGAGCCAGTGAAAAACGCCATTGGATCCACCGAGGAATCTTGCCCACAGACACCCTCTCAGGTCTCAGCTCTGCCGGCGAGACATCCGCAGGATGTCTGCGGGAAACAGACCACGAGAGATCCGGGGGTTAGGATGTAACATCATCTAGCTGGCTCCATCTTGCAACCCATAACCCAGCTCCTTCTCCAGCTGCTGCTGCTCCTGCTGCTGCTCTCGTTATTGTTATGAATAAGTTAATAACATGGCGGAAGGCTCCTTTGTCGTGGCCCAAAACAACAACCAACAACGCAGGCAGCGCTTATTAAATGATTGAAGCCGAAGCTCCAAGTCTCTGGTGGAGAATTGGGGCCTCAAGCTGGGGGCCCCCATAAAAAAAGGTGGAAACCTGGTCCTCGTCTTCTCTGCCTGCTCATCTTCACAGCCTTCTCAGCCTTCTCAGCCTTCGCTGCCTTGTGGTTTTTCCCCTTTTTTTGTGAACAGCGACCACCATCAATAACACTGGACCGGCGACGGGTCCGGGCCATATTTATGATTTGTTAAGCAACGCCGAACGTGCGAAAGGATAATCACAAGCGCCTGCTGGCACGCCCCCCGGTGCCTCCGCCTCTCACATTTTTTTCTTTTCGATTTTTTGTTGTTTTTTCAGAGGGGTCTTGGTCCGTCGGAATCTTGGTCTTCGTCGTGTGTGCGGCATTTCCAAAATTGAGTCAATGACTTTTATTTTTACGACTGCTCCCCCCTGATCACTGCTCCCTCTGTTTCCTTAAAGATGGTTACTTCTGGGGGGGGAAGTGCATTCAAGTCTGAAGTAGTTCGGAATTTTATGGCACTGCGAATTGAGCTATTAGAGGGGCAGAAGCAGAGGACAGTGTCTGGGATCATAGGCACCTGTTTTGTTATTCCACTCGAACTTTGACCACCTGCATTGATGGTTAAAGTAACGCCTTCGCCACCCAGACTCTTGATCATCTCCCGAACCGATCTCAACCACTTTGACGAGAGACACCAATTATGCACTACACGAAAAAATTGTACAAATCATTGAGTCCGGTCAGGGGGGAACCTATGCTAGAGTCAGGATCGCAGGACCCTGGCATCCTTAATGAGCGACGGCTTATCAATGGTCTTTACAGACTCATTCCAGGTCCGGATCAGACCGAAGTCTTGAGTCCCCGTTGCATTGCCATTCCCAGCTCGAGAGTCTGATGATTGTTAACCTTTGAATCGGTCCAAGAAAGGAGGAGGAGAGCGGAGGGGAGGATGGCATTAAAAACGTTAACAAGCTGCGTAGCGCCGTCGGCGGCGTTAATGTCGAAATTGGCGCTGGCCCAGGAATGGCAGCGATTGCCAAAAGGCAGGAGGAAGGAAGGGCTCCGACTCGAACTGGAACTGGAACTGAGACTCAGACTGGGACGAACGTGTTCCTTAATGAAACAAAGCTTGAATTTTAAATGAGCATCATAAAGAACAATGAAAATGCAGGGGGGGAACGAGCCACAACAAAGCGAGGCCGGCGATCGGGACAGCGCGAAATAAAAGCGCAGAAATGTTAAATAAACAATAAAAAATAAAAAAAAAAAAACACAACAATCCGTTGCCACCTCCCCCGTCGCCGAGTCTGTCAAACTCTTGGAGCGGATTAAGCGCGGCCGCAGAAGAGAGATGGATATGGATGCGAGAGATCTTAGCCCAGATCCGTTCCAAAACCGATCCGGGAAGGGGACACCAGGGGGACGCAGTCGAAATCGGAGCGGGATGAGGGGAGAGAGAAGTCAAGCAGAAGTTCTCGGATCAAGAGGCGACTTCTTAATGCCCTTTCCAATAATATTATTTCATTAAATATTTAAGAAAGAAAGAGTCAAAGGGGGAAACGGAAAAGAGAAGTCAAGCAGAAGGTCTGTGATGACATAGCGACTATTCAATACTCTTTTAAATAATGTATATAAAATTATTATAATATTATATCATTAAATGTTTAATAAAGAAATAGTTAAAAGGGGGAAGGTAGAAGAAAAGTGAAGCTGAAGGTCTGAGATGTTAAAGTGACTATTTCACACTTTTTCAAATAATATATATAAAAATACATATAATATTATTATAATATTATATCATTAAATGTTTAATAAAGAAATAGTCAAAAGAGAAAACAGAGAAAAGAAGTCAAGAGAAAGGTCTCTGATCAAGAGGTGATTATTTAATAATCTTTCAAATAATATACATATATAACAAAATTTATAAAATTATTTTACTAAATGTTTAATAAAGAAATAGTTAAAAGGGGAAAAGTAGAACAAAATTTAAGCTGACGGTCTAAGATGTTAAAGTAACTATTTCATACCCTTTCAAATAATATATTTAACAATATTATAATATTATTTCATTAAATGTTTAATAAAGAAATAGTGAAACGGGGAACGCAGATACAAAAATCAAGCAGACAGTCTCTGATGATAAAGCGATTGTTTAAAACAGGTTTAATACTAATAAGATAATTTAATTAAATATTGAATACAAAGAAAATCAAACGGGGGGTAAGTCACTTTAACACACTAAAAACTAACTAAAATAAATTAATTTAAAAGGAAACTAAAGAGATACGAAAAACACCTTTACTAGATGTATGTTATATCCTAAGAGTTACCGCAACTTTTGCTCGTTAATTTACTATTTAAATTTAACATTGTATGCTTAGCTCAATTTGTTAAGCAAATAAATAAAATATTTAAATATATATATCACCAGCTATCTTTTGACAAATAATCTATTATAAATCTATTATCTAAATGAATATTTACAAATATATAACCATATATAACAAATAAAAACAATAATATATATCAATTACCTAGTAAATTATTAATGAAACCTTTGTTTATCTTTGGCTACTGGGTTTTTTCCTACCTTGGTTCATTTGAGAGGCTTTCTTACTTGCTCTAATCGATGATGGTTAAATTTTATTTTTAAAATTGTTACCTAGTTAGCTAACCAAAGGGGCTCGATGGCTCAAAGTCCAAAAAATACCAACCCGATAATAAAGAGTTCAGCGACATTATTTGACAATTTGAAAGGTTTTGATGATTAGAAAAAACCAAAAGAATATTTGCGGCGTCATTTTATATTTGATATTTCATTACCGAACAAGGGAAAGCAACGCAATTAACGACGATGTCATCGCCAAATAGGAAAGCAAGTGAGTAAAAATCAAAAATAAATTATTAACACTATTTAGAAGTTTTCCCAAGTAGATGATCAAAAGACTGGGACTCTTTACCAAAAGTTAGGGTATTCAGTGCGATGATAATCATGTCGGTTGGCATGTAATACTTTTGCCGTCGCCGCTTAAAGGATTCGCAAATGATTTTGCGGTCAAAGATGAAATGAAAGAGAACTTGGAGATGGAAAGAGGATTGAGGATCGAGGATCGAGGAGCTGTCCATAGTTGATTCTCTGGTGCTGGCCATAATTGGTGCTCATCTTAATGGCATTAAAATTGCATTATCGCTGTATTTATTGAAACGGTTTGTTTTAACAAGATTAACTCGACGAGATACCACCGCAGCCACGGCGACATGGAGGAGGCCCAGGGACCGGACCACAAAATGATTAACAGCCCCGAAAGCCGCCGCAAACGGAGAGTATAAAATGAAACAAGATTCCAACAACAAAAACAGGAAAAAAGAGCATTATAATACCAGATATTTATGTTGTTGTGGCTGCTTGATTGGCCACACTCATTGTTGTTATTGTTGCCATTGTTGCTATTGTTGTTGGGGGCCCATAAAATATTTATAACATAATTTCATATCATTTTTAGATGATTAGATTCAATAATGCGGCTACCACAAGCGGTAGCTAAAGCAGCTTAGGGAGTGCGAAAGATACATTTGTATCTATGAAGCTGCATTGGGTATTTAAGAACACTTTAGAGTTAAGGGAACCGTTGAGTCACCGATGACGCCCACATGCATTCCCAGAACCCTAGAGAATCGATCGCGATTTGTGGTGCAACCCTTCCGCAGGCTCCCCTCCGCTCGGTCTCTTCCAGGAAGCATCTCATAATTATTATTTATGCATACAAATTAAAAGCAGAGCGGCACGTATTTATTATTTGCCAAAATCCGATCAAAAGCGTTTATTTATGGCCGCTTTTTTCATCGCGCTTATTTCATCAGGCCCCGAAATGCCAAAAGATATTGGTGGAATGCGTTATTGCCGACGGCGCTGATTTTGTTGTTGGCCTAGTCGAGCTTCAGATACATCAAAAAACTATATGATTTACCATTTAGTTTCACAATTTAACGTCAGTTTCTTGGATAGTTTTGGTTTTAATAAAGTATCTATTAATTGGGGTACTAACTTGACTGGTGTAATGAGTTAATGAGCGGGGTAAGCCAAGTGACTTGTATCTTGACTTTCGAATTCTACATAGTATAAACTTTTAATTAAAAATTAGGTTGAGTTAAGTTTAAGTTGAGATAGCTTATTTATTTAGCTATTATTAAGCTCCAATAACCTCAATAGCTCATCTTGAAAGAATCTTAAGACCTTAGACTATCTTTAATTTAATTAAATGCCTTTAATTTGTATAATTCTTCAACTTCAATCCATGTTTAAGTTCACGTTTAAGTTATATATTTCTACCCCTAATTAATAATAAATGATGAGATAAGATAAGAAGGCTTAGAATATAGGATATTAAGAGTCCTTAGGATAAGGATATCAATAGTCCATCTGGAAAAAGTCTCAGCTCCTTAAAGGATCTTTAGTGAAAATATATAGTATCCATTTGGTTATAAATTTACCTTGTACGAGGATCGTGTATCTTCTATTTTAATGCTTAAATTATATTTTGTGAAATTTCTAAAATTATTCTAAGCTCACTTTAGTTTGTGATAAAGTCCTTATTATACTCTTAGAATTTCGATTAGCCTTCTTGGCCACAAGACCACAGACCACAAGAATCTTAATTAGTATTAAAAGTCTTTTATTTGTTTTATTCTCCAACTTGAAGCCAAGTTCAAGTTCACTTTCAAATTATCTGTTCTACTTGTAATAAATATTAAATGATACATACCTTATTATATTTTAAGGATATCAAGAACCCATTTTGGAAGAGTCTCAAGACTACATAAGATCCTTCGTGGAAATGTATCATTTGGGCATTAACTTGCTTGGTAAAATGTATTAAAGAGCAGTTTATGCTTCGAATCTTTAATCTAATTGCTTAAATTCAACCTTGTAAAATGTTTTAAATCACTCCAAACTATTTTCAGGTTGCGAACAAGTCCTTATAATATTTGAAGGATCTAATGACTTAACTTGGATAAACTTCAAGACCACAAAGGAAGAATATAATTTTGTATTATTCTCCAAATTGAAATCAAGGCTTTTTAGTTTATTCTTCCCCTTTTACTTTTAAGTAAAAAATGGTGACAAAGTTCTTATTATACTTTAAGAATCTCAGTAATCCATCTTCGATAAGTCTCAAGACCACAAAAGAATCCTTAATATATATATTTATATATATATCAATTTAGATTTGTCAAATGTGTAACATAGCAGTAAAAGCTTGGTATCTTGTATCTTCTATCTTTGTGCTTAAATTTAACT